GACAGCTCAAAGCTGCAGAGACGAACTACCCAGTTCATGACAAGGAGCTACTTGCGATAAAGTGTGCACTTGTTGAGTTCATGGTCCACCTGCTCGGCTCCAAGCCGTTTGTCATCGATACAGATCCTGCGTCACTACGCACTGCAACTCAGTCGCCCCCCCCCCTCACGCAGACGATGGCTAGATAGCTATCCTTCTTTGCGGAATATAAATCGAAGGTGATGTATACGCCAGGAAGCAGAATGCTTTGGCTGATGCGTTGTCACGCTGACCAGACTATGAGCTTGCTTATGTTACAACTGTAACGCCGTCTGTGACGGATTTGATCCGCACTGCGTATGCGGGTTATGAGATGTGTGTAGCGTTTCCTCGGGCTCTAGAGAGCACGGAGTTTGGAAAATCGGACAAAAAAATGTCATCACCAATGCGTGCACGATTGCACCGATATTCGCTGAATAATGGGTTGCTTTATTATAGCACCGATTCAACGGATACACCACGAGTTGTGGTTCCTCATGATGAGGATTTGAAATATCGCATCCTCTTTGAGGCTCACGATACGCCACTTAGTGGTCATCTCGATCGTGATAACACGTACAACTCTGTTAGTCACCACTATTGCCGGCCCAAGTTGTACGAATCGACGAGCACCTCTGTGCGCACGCGTGAGACGTGTTAACGGGCGAAACCCGCTCCAAATACGGCTGCGCCGCTGTGCCGCTGACTAGCTTATCAGTACTCACTGGGTAATGGCACTTCATGAGTTTGGACTTTGTGTTTGGCCTGCCGAAAGATTCGGCGGGCAAGACGGGTGTTATGGGTTTCGTCGACCGGTTGAGCAAGATGGCTCATTTGGCGGCAGTGCCAGACACCATCGACGGGGTCGGAACAGCAACGCTGTTAGTAGATCGTGATTTCCGACAACACGGACTCCCAGAGTCGATTATCTCTGATAGAGACCCTCGTTTCACGGGAAAATTTTGGTCGACTATCTTCAAGGTGG